CAAGGTGGCAGTGATACTCCACACCAGCTAACAGCCTACCTGGTTTTCTTCTCACTCACAGTTCCTGTTCAGCTTCCTCTTCCAGTTAGCACTCAGTTCACCTCACTGACCTAGTCTCTGGATTCTAGGATCACCATCTGTACCTTCCTCGTTCAATTGGCACTCAAACCACCTCAATGTCCTATCCTTAGGGTTCTAGAATCCTCAAGTTCCCAGGTCTTTGTTGCAGAGGGTCAATTCAGTGCATCTGTCTACTCCACCATCTTGCCCCTCTTTAGATTAACAATGTTTCCAATATGTGTATACCCTGGCTGTGGCTGTGTACCATAGAGACCCTACCTTGTTCCAAATGCACTGTGGTGGTACAGTGGGTTAAGCAACTGCTGATAGGTCAGCAGTTTGAACCCACCAGCTGCTCCACTGAAGAAAAATGAGACAGTCTGCTTCTGTAAAGATTGATAGCCTTGGATAGTCTATGGAACAGTTCTACTCTGTACTATAGAGTCACTATGAGCTGGGCTCATTTGGAACAAGGTAGAGTGGAAATATAGTTTCAGAAATTTCAATCTGAACAGTTCATTTTGTGACTTAATAAAAAAAATCATAAATAATTCATAATCATAATAACTTGCTTATATGAAATTCATTTGATAATATTATAAGCTCTGTTGTTGGTAAGTGCCATCCAGTTGGCTTCAACTAACAGCGACCCTTTATAGGGTGATGTCTAAGGAGCAGCTGGTGGATGAAAAATTAATAGAACAATCATATTTTATGATTGAGGGGTAACATGAGGAATAGCTCTTTAAAAAAGTAAACAATTTCATATTCATAAGTGTTAAAAGTATATAAATGTGAAATCATTTGCTTATTTAGAGATATTCTTCATGTTATCCCTAAAATGTAAAATATACTTGTTGTATTAATTTTCCATATTTTTCCTCTTTAGTGAAAAGATAACCAAAACTGCATATTCCTATATTGATGTATGAGGTCCTGGTGTGGCATTGTAGGATAAGTACTGGGCTGATAACCACAAGTCAGTGTTTCAAACCCACCAACTGCTCCTCAGAAACCTATATGGGGTCTCTATGAGTCAGAACTAACTAGATGCAATTTAACAACAACAATATGAATATACAGGAAGCCCTAGTGGCACTGTAGGATAAGCCCCAGGGTGCTAGCCACAAGGTTGGCAGTTCAAACCCACCAGCTGTTCCATGGGAGAAAGATAAGACTTGCTGCTCCCATCAAGATTTATAGCCTCAGAAACCAAATACAGGGTCATTATGAGTTGGAATCAACTCCACGGTAGTGGGTTTGGGTATGTTTTTTTGTAAATTGATAAACAGTTTAACATGTCAATTTTAAAGTAGCATTTCTTTCACTTTTATTCTAATCCTGCCAGAAGTTCATAATTTAATCATAAGGGCCATTTTTAAAAGTAAAATAAAATAGCTGGCTTGTGCTCTTTAAAAAAACAAAAAGTCAAGAAAAGACTAAGGAACTGTCCCAGATGCAAATAAACTAAGGATACTGGAAACTAGATTTGACACCTGATCTGGAATGTCTCTCTAAATATTATTGTGACAAGTGGTAAAATGCGAATAAGGTCTATGGATTTGATAAAATTTTGTTATCAGTGATTTCCTGAGCTTAATCATTGTACTGTAGTTATGTAAGAATATGTCTTGTCATCTTATTTGGGGGCGGGAGAGAGACAGGAGAGAAGAGTGGGCGTGCACAAATGTAATAGCTCGTTGTTATGGATTGAAATTTTTCCCAAAAACCATATGTTAGATCAGCACTGGACTGAGAACCCACAAGGTGGGCAGTTCAAACCCACCAGCTGCTCCTTAGAAACCCTATACAGGGTCACTATGAGTCAGAACTGACAGCACATAAAAACAACAACATACCTGTAGATGTAATCCCATTTAGGAATAGAATTTTCATTGTTATGTTAATGGGGATATTTCAGTGTGTCCTAAGCCTAATTACTTCTGATGTATATAAAGCAGAATAGGTATAGAAGTAAATACATATTAGGAAAATAGATGCCCTGGGAGGGTCATCAATCAACCAAAGAATCAAGGAACACCTAATCTACAGACAAGGAAAGAATCAACATAGCCAAAACCCTAATGTGGACTTTCAGCCTCCAGAACTGTGAGAAAACAAATTTCTGTTCTTCAAAAACTACCTACTTGTGGTATTTGTGTTGCAGCAATTAAGACATACGTTAACATTTGGAGGAATCCAGGTAAACGGTTTATGAGAATTCTTTGTACTATTCTTGCAACATTTCTCTAAATCTGAATCATATTAAATTAAATAGTAAAAACAAAAGTTAAAACAGAAGCTCTTGATAACAATGGCAGCTGGTCACAATTCTGCCTTCTTTTCCCTCTTACAATTAGTGAAGAGAGCAACCTGCTAAATGGCAATCTTATTCATACAAGGTCATGGTGGTGGTGGTGTGCCGTGGAGTTGGTTCTGGCTCTCAGTGACCCTGCATAAGGTTTCCAAGGCTGCATATATTTATGGAAACAGAAAGTCTCATCACTTCCTGCGGAACTACTGGTGGTTTTGAACTGCTGACTTTGAGGTTAGCAGCCCAACTGTAACCACTACACTACCAGAGCTCCTTATATAAGGTCATGCTGAGCAAAAATGAGGGGCCACCTGCGAGGCAAAATGCATGGTAAAAATCCCAATAGCCATCACTGTTAGGCAAGGCATTGAGCTCAGGTGAAGAGGTATGTAGAAAACACCTGAGCATCTTCAACTGTGCATTCACAGAGCATAGCTCATGAACCAGGAGTCAACACAGCTAAGTTGATTTATTTGCTTTATCAACTGTATAGCTTTGTGTTGTTAAGTGCTGTCGAGTTGGTTCTGACTCATAGCGACCCTAGATAGGGTTTCCAAGGAATAGCTGGTACGTTTGAAACAAAAACCTTATGAATAGCACCTCAGTGCTTATCATACAACATCACAACAGGTTTCTCAAGACATTATTCCTATTTTGCAAAAAAAAAAAAAAAGGATTTTGCTCAGGTGAACATGTTGCAAACTAGTCACAAATTATTATACTTTAATATATTACTTTAAATATCAAGTGAAGTTTACTTATTAGTAGTGAAGTTTCTTCCTCCCCATTCATGTCTTTAACACCTTCATGCTTGACTTAGACTTCTGGGAAGTCACTATGAACATATAGGTCACTCCTGTTCTGCTCTTGGATACTCATTAGTGTCCAAAGTGTTCTTTCTGTATGCTTTTTAAAAAATATGAGGAGACTAAATACAACCATATACTATTTGCAACTGGATTAAATATTAAAGGAGTGGAGCAGTAAGGACAGTTTTCCTCTTCTTCAAATAGTTTTTTTAAAAAGAGAGAGAGAGACAGTATTTGTAGTAAGATTGAAGAAAGCAGGCTCAAAGAACCAGACAACTTCAGTAAAAGAAATATTGCTGGTAAAATCCTCCAGGAATTCTTCCTACACCAGATGATTTCAATGGAAAAAAACAAATTATTAAAAATCTATGTGAGCCTCTGCAATACATAAGACTATAGGTAGAAGCCTGAACATATCCAGATCTCCAGAGATGGGAAATTTCCACTTGCAAGGACGAGCAGATCAGCCTGGAACGGCTAGAAGAACAGAAGATACTTCTTGAAAGAAAGACCTAGAGGGAAAAATGCAAAACAATAGAGGTAGATGGACTGTTACCACAAGAACAAACAAGTTGCTTGCCCAGGAAAAATCAAGGCAAGTGGACGGGTCCCCTCAGTGCAAACCCCCTTCCAAGACTAAGACTCAATGGGAATACACACTCTGATTGGTGACCACGCTCGTCACCCATAAGGGAAAGTGAGGGGAAAACAGTAATGAAGTGGCAAACTAAGCCCTACAATATGGAGAATGAAGCGTTCAGCCGATAAGAAGAGAGGGCATATGCACAAGAACACCCACACTTGCAGATAACAGCCACTTGGACCTGGCTTCAATGACTGGATGATCAGAGCTCAACTAGAAGAAGAAAAAAAAGGAAAAAAAGAGTAAGCTGATGCAATTTGCTGAACTTGACCTACACCTATGGAAGTAGTAGGTCAAAAGAGGGAACAAATTCTTACAGCAAGAATCATACGCACCCCCTCCACACACAGAGTAGACAGGGATGGGCAACTTGGATATTGGCTACCCAAAATGGGGGGGGTAGCGCTACAAAGGCAAGAAGTGACTGGCTTACAAGCTTTCAAGAGGGAACCTAGAAACAGGAGGCCTGGAGAAAGGCAGAATCTCCAGTGAGTAGCATCCAATCTGACTAGGTGGAGTTGATGAAATGAAATGCAGATGGGTCTCTTGTGATACAATAGTGAATAATTGTTATCAGGACTGATTGTGAAGGTTGGAAATGTAAAGGTAAACATTTTATAGCAAGGAAGGAAGTGATTAACTTTTCAGTCTAGGAGCAGAGGTCCCTAGGACCATCAACGGAGAAGAGCCGAGAGCGGGACCCTACCCAGAAAAACAGTGATGCCTGAGATGGAGGCAGAGACAATGACGTGGAGCAATGGAGCAGCTGGGGGCTTTAGATCCAGAGAGGGAGAGCGACTGTGCGCTGAAGACTGGGGTGGGGGGTGGATAGTGTAAGGGGCAGGCTTGCAGCATATACCCATTGGTTGGTTGATGATGCATGTAGGGGATTGTAACCATGGCAATGATACAATGTACGATAGAATGAATGTAAAACTAATGTTCTCCCACGTAAACGATCATATAATTAACAATAAAACACTAAAAAAGAAAAAAGAAAAAATCTATGTACATCTGGGCTATCTTTAACTGGGTGTCATTTTTCAAAAATCTTACCATCAAGAAATAGTAAATGAGAAGAATTTCGATTTCTTCTCCTCAAACTTGGACAGCATGAACACTTTGGGTTTCCTTTTCTAAAATGGTATAAATGTTTAATTGTTCTGTTACATACCAAAGAGACAGAGCGTTTGGTTCTAAAGCACAATTGCTGTTCAAAGGACTCTGAAAATTCTTGAATTTTTGAATGGGATCGTCCATTTGATTCCAATGGCTCCTTGAATGATCCATCTTCTGAGCATTTTCTGTAATTCCTCATGTGGGTCTGACACCGGAATTCCTGGATTTCATGAGAATGTCTTCTAGGATAGTGGTCAGATGGTATAATTTTGGGAAGATCGGGAAACTGGAAATACAAAATGAAAAATTTTACAATCTAGAGAGATTGCACAGTATTAACACAGAAAGGGAATATACATAAGCTACTAACTAAACAAATCTTACATTGAACTTTAAGTTTATCTTTTTAATCAATGAGAATTTTCTCCTAAGATGAAAAATTCTCATTAGCAGAATATCTCAATGTCACTATTCCTTTATTTTAGCAATAATATGAAGCTTTTCTAGCTTCAAATTAATGCTTTAAAACAAAATTTAAATAAAAAAAGAAACCATTAATAATTAAGAAATAATACAAGGTGAATACTTACGTGATTTCAATATAGAGAAGGAATTTCTAAGCAAAAGAGCAATAAAATAAATCATATGGAAAAAAATCAATTTGACAACTTAAAAATAAAGCTGATGTGCACCAAAAGCAACACAAACAAAATTAAAAGGTAGACAATATAAAAATATATATGCTACACATTACTAATATTTTAAAATATCCTGAAAATACATAAGTGACACACAAACATTGTGGCTAGGTGCCGCTGAATTATTCTGATTCACAGTGAGCCTATGTGCAACAGAATGAAATACTGTCCGCTCCTGCAACATCCTCACACTTATGATGCTTGAGCCCATTGCTGATGTCACTGTGTCAATCATTCCATTGAAGGACTTACTCTTTTTCACTGCCCTATCATGCTGTGGGTTAATGCATCAGACTGCAAAGCTGTTGCGGACCGTGTAAGACTGGTCAGAGGTTCAAGGCCCTATAGGCCCGAGTGTAACAAATGAAGCCACTTGGCAGTTAATAGCAAATTGTTTTTCATCAAATTGTTTAGTCATATTTATTTAATTCCAAACATGAGCCCTGGATGTCCACAGAGAAATGCAATATTCCCCTAAATTTCTAAGGTCAAGATTTTCCCCCTAGAACCAAGGCAGTAAAACTTCCTCAGAGGACGAACAAGGACAGGTTTACTGAGATTAAGCAGGGAGGCTCTGGAGAGGAACTGCCCGGGGTATATTCACTTGGGGTGGAGCGGTAAATTCTGGGAATACGGGATTAAGGACAATGGGGACAATGCCCTCGGACCACCCTGGGTTCAATCAGTTTGATCCAAGTGAAGGTTAAACCCAGTAAGGAAGAAAGGAATATTGGTTTAAGTAAGGTTTACTGGCTTAACTTATCTTAAAGATTGTCTTGTCTGAATAATACCATTCTTCTTCTGTAAAGATCCCTCCCCGCTTGGTGTGAAGCTCCTCCCCTGAATAAAGCAGAGGCCCAAGCCTCCCCAGGTGTGCATTACTGGTTGGAAGGCTTGGAGTAAAGATTGCGGTGCATTACTGGTTGGAAGGCATGCAGTAAAGATTGCAGGGCAGTGAGTTGCTGCCTGCAGAGGCCATGATACCTGTAGTCCCAAGCCTGCCCACCAGTGATGTATCCACCCTGGCTTTGGGGTGCCTCATTGTCTCCCTTCTTCTGTTTGTCTGTGTATTCTTTTGCTATCCCTATCGCCACTGGATCTCCCCTCCTTGTGAACCAAATCCTTGTGAACCGCACCCATATGTCGAGGTCAGACCCCGACACAAAGCCATTTGAACTGCAAGGTCAGTGGTTCAAGCTCACCAGTTGCTCCTCAGAAACCCTATACAGGGTTGCTGTGGGTTGGAACTGACTCAATAGTACTTAAAAACAACAACATCACTTTACTAAGCATGATGTCCTTCTCCAGGAATTGGTCCCTCCTGATAGCATGTACAAAAGTCTCTCAACCATCGCTCCTAAGGATCATTCTGGTTGTACTTCTTCCAACTTCTTGCAGTCCATGGTACTTTTAACATTTGTCTCCAAAACCTTAATTCAAATGCATCACATCTTCTATAGTCTTCTTTATTCATTGTCCAACTTTCCCATGCATATGAGGCTACTGAAAATAACAAAGCTTGGGTCAAACTGACATCTTTGCTCTTGAATACTTTAAAGAGGTCTTGTGCAGCAGATTTGCCTAGCGCAACATATAGCACCATTTGATTTTTTGACATAAGAATTGATAATGAATCCAAGCAAAATAAAATATTTGACAACTTAAATCCTTTCTCCATTTGTTGTTGTTGTTGTTAAGTGTCGTCAAGTCGATTCTGACCCATAGTGACCCTGCATAGGGTTTCTGAGACTGTAAATCTTTATGGGAGCAGAAAGCCTCAGCATTCTCCCACGGAACAGCTGGTAGTTTTGAACTGCTGACCTTAAGATTAGCAGCCCGATTCATAACCACTACGCTATCAGAGCTCCCTTATCATGATGTTATTTATAGGTCCAGTTGTAAGGATATTTGCTTTCTTTACATTGAGGACAACTCATACAGAAGGCTGCGTATTTTAAGTCCTCTGCACTTTGAGCATGAAAGGTTGTATCATTTGTATATCACAGGTTGTTAATGAGTCTTCCTCCAATGCTGATGCCATGTTTTTGTTGATATAATCCAGCTTCTCTGATTATTTAATCAGCATACAGATTGAATTGTCAGGATGGTGCAGGATGAGCAGTATTTCATCCTGCAGGCCATAAGGTTGCTATGAGTAGGAATCAACTCTACAGCACTTAACAATAATACAGACTGAATAAGTATGTTGAAGGGATGCAATCCTGATGCTCACATTTCCTCATTTTAAACCATTCAGTATCCCCTGTTCTATTCGAAGGACTGCCTCTTGATCTATGTACAATTTCCTCATGAGCACAATTAAGTGTTCTGGAATACCCATTCTTTGCAGTGATATCCATAATTTATCATGATCCACACAGTTGAAAGTCTTTTCAAACTCAATAAAGCACAGGTAAACATCTTTCTAGTATTTTCTGATTTCAACCAAGATGCATTTGACATCAGGAATGATATCCCTTGTTCCAGGTCCTAGTCTGAATCTGGCGGTTCCCTCTAGATGTGATCTCCAGCATCGTTTCGATCACCAGGGCCATGTTTTCTTACCACTGATCCTTCCTCTTTGTTTCCATCCTTGGCATTCCAACCACCAGTATATATCAATACGTTTTGAGTGCATGTTTGATCAATTTCACATGAAGAAGTTAGTATTCTCTTTCATCATCACTGGCTTTAGTGATTGGTGAGTAAATTTGAATAATAGTGGTACTAACTGGTCTTCCTTGTAAACATATGGCTAGTATCCTATCACAGACAACATTGTACTTTAACACAGATCTTGAAATGCTTGTTTTTGATGATGAATGTGACCATTCCTCTTCCATTTGTTGTTACTGGCATAGTACACCAATACTATTTTGAATCTGATGATTATATGTCTTTATTTCTTTTAGGAAACTTCCATTTTTTTCTAGAGCCATACTTTGTACATTCCATGTTATGTTTATTAATGCATGTTTGCAGCTGTTTTTCCTCATTTTGAGTTATGTCCCATCTGCAAATAAAGGTCCTGGATGTTTTACTCTATTCGAGTCATCACAGTCAACTCTGCTTTGAGGAGGCAGCTTTTCCCTGGTCATATTTTGAGTGCCTTTCAACCTGAGTGGCTCATATTGAGGTACTATATCTGGTAATATCCTGGTGCTATTCATGTTTTCATTTTCTGGCACTATATCTAACAATGTTCCACTGCTATTCATAAGATTTTCACTAGCTAAACATTTTGAAGTTAGGCAGTGAATAAAGAAGACCATAGAAGAATTAATGCATTTGAGTTATGATGTTGGAGGAGAGTACTGAAAGTAACATGCACTGACAAAAGTACCAACAGATCTGTACTGGAAGAAGTGCAGCCAGAGTGCTCCTTGGAGGCCAAGATGGCCAAACTTCATCTCTCATGCTTCAGACATGTTATCAGTAGGGACCAGTCACTGGAGAAGGATATCATGTTTGGTAAAGTTAAGGGTTGAAGAAAAAGAGGAAGACAACCAACGAGATGGATTGACACAGTGGCAGCAACTCAGGCATAGCAGTGACTGTGAGGCTGGCATAGGACCAGGCAGTGTTTTGTTCTATTATGCCTACGGTTGCTATAAGTCAGTACCAACTTGATGGTACCTAACAACAACAACAACAGCTCCCCACATCACAGCAACATATGTGTCACTACAGTACAACAACTCAACAGACGAATGGTGGACAGAGAGACATTGTATTTTTTTCAACGCAGATGTTAGCATTGACATTATTGTAGATTGTGATCTCTACAGACAGACACAGAGGTCAAAAAATACAATACCATCAATGCTAAAATCTGTATTTAGAAATTATCAAAGGGCAGACAATGCAGAGAAGACAAACTTCTTAAAAGAAATGTAACCTTTGCTCTCTCAATTTCTTTCACACCTCAATCTACTCCAATCTAGCTTTTGCACTCACTACTGCTTGTGAACAGGATATTAGTGCCCATGCTACCAAAATCTGTGAGTACTTTTGCTTCTTCAGTAATCCTATAGATTGAATTATGTCTCTCAAAAAGGTATGCTGAAGTCTTACCCTTGGTACCTGTGAACGAGACTTTGGCAATGGGGTCTTTGGAGATGCTATAAATTAGGCTAACCTGAGGTCATCCTGGAGCAATTATTGCTGTTGTTAGGTGTGTGGAGTCAATTTCCATTCATAACAAAAAAAAAGCAAAACCCTACCCAGCTGTACCATCCTCACAATTGTCCTCCATTTGATCCTATCGTCATTTCCACTGTGTCATTCAGCCTTGTGGATGTCTTCCTCCACTTTATCAAGCATGATGTCCTTCTCTAGGGACTGGTCCCTCTTAATAATATGTCTGGAGAGAACAAACAAGATGGCAGATTGGGTAGACGTGCAATGAGGAGCTCCGTCAGCAACAACACAGAATACTAGACCAAGCAGGCTCAGGGGATGGTGCCAGAACTCTGAACCACATATAAAGGAATATTTAAAAGGTTGGAGGCTTACAGCTAGGGGAAATTGTAGCAGAAGCAAGAAATCCATTGCTTTCTAATTCAAGATGCTCAGCTGCTCCCAGAGC